AGTTAACTAAAATAAGAATTAGCTACCCTTATGATCAGGCTCTTCTATGTGGATTTTTCAGTATGACAAACATCCTAGGAAAATCTGAACTTTCAATCTTATTGAGTGTTGAAATCAACAATGTGCTTATGTGTGTGGTTATTTCTTGTTACACCTGGGCATCAAAGGCATTCCTTTAATTCACAGGTGAAATGGAAATTACGTCCTTTCAGAATATCTCCAGATGCTACTGCAGGATGATGACACTGGCTTGCCCTGCTCCGGCTTCTCAGGGGAAAGTCCGCAGGACAGTGAGATTGACTATCAGACTCTGAAGAGTGATCAACACAGAGGCAGTATACTCTCCAAAGGCTCTTGTTCCTCAGTAAAACAGTTTTCAAATTCAGATTTATCAGGGGAAGGAAGCAGTCTTACAAACCCAGATGCAGCATATTTTTGGACCCCGTACAACTCCTCGCTACTGTTCCTTGGGAAAGGCAGAGGCATTTCGTGTTCACATACATATTTAATGTGAATTTAATTTGTATTGTCCTATAGAATGTATTTCATTTCCATTAAATGGCAAGATGACACACCATTGTACCTCTATTTCTGGACAGTGTTTTTCAAGTGTATTGAAAATTCATAGATTTGGAAAAAAGAATCTGAGTATCTATTTAGCACAGTATAACTAAATCCCCTGAGAGAAAAATTGTCAGTGAATTGTTATTACCATTCTGATGTACATGAAGACTTTAAAGTGTGAAGCTTTATAGCAATATTTTTGATTTAACTAAAATAGTTTAATAAGAAAAACAAAACAACTGAAATTTCAATGACAGAAAGGACTTTTTATATGAGCATGCTTTTCAAAAAAGCCAGTCTCAATCCTCTAAAATTTCTTTATGAACCAGTAATATTTATTTATTGCATTGCCTTCATTACTATAATAGAGCTAGTCTCACTTATAAATCCACCAGAAAATCTGAAATTCACACTGTATGGAAAATTCAGCTCTGGTCCAGATTTAGAATATAAGTGCCATTACATCTGGAAGACTAAATGCAAAGTCTCATATAATGATCTATTATACACATATTACTTAAAAGCCAAATTTCATGAAGCTGCTGCATTTCTGTAGTAAAAAATCTACAAAAATTGTACAAAAATATGTACTTCATATTTCACAGAAAACCTTGTGCACAGGTAAAGAATTGCTTAGGGATTGATTAGATTATGACCACAAATGACCAAACTCGGGGTTTAAAAAAATCTTCTTCTATTACTTAAGCCTAATTTCTACTTTTATTACTGTAAAACACAGTTCAAATGTTTTTGGTCAAAACCAGTGTGAAGGATCATTCTGGTGTGGACAGAACCAAGATCCAATATAATTTTCATAAACTATGTGTGAGGCTAACCTTCAACACCTTTTCGAAGCTACAGAAATTTTGCTTCAGCCCTGTACAGAGTAGCCAAGCAAGAAAGTTTGAATCCTGCAAAGAGGGAATTTGTGAAAACAGAATTTTATAACTACTTTCAAACCATGCTCATATCCTTACGTATAGCCTTAGAATTCATCTCATATTTCTTGTATCACAATTTCACATTGAGTTATGCGGTGAAGATAGAGTAAGCCAATTTTAAAGAGAAAATTCTTTAAATATTTCTCCGAAGTCTTCTTATACCATTGCAATTCAGTATAGGGAAGCTTGGCTAGTATCAAGCTAGTATCAGTACATGAAATCTAGGTAATATCAAGAAAGTCATTCTAACTACACACAAGTTCAAATAAAAGGCAGAATCTGGACTACAGATTTTGAGTAAGAAAAAAGGACAAACCAAAATAAAATGAAAAAGCAACATTAGTATCTTTGATTACATTGTTCAGTTCCAGTTAACCATTTACTTTGATGGTGTCTGAATTGTAACACATTGAGTTGAATGAAGTTCCCACTCTTTTTTTCTTTTTCTTTTTTTCCCCTTGTCTCAGAGATTTTGATACCAAATCTGAGGGTTGGAGTCCATTTAGCTTGAGTATTTTGGTTCAGTTGTAACATTTCTCTTTTCTGTTTTGTTCACAGAAGATCCAACGCTCAGCTGGATGAGATGCAATACAGGCTGTGCATCTTACAGAATACAATGAAGTGTTAGAGAACACTACAAAAAAGCAGAGGAAAAGGAAAAAAATAAAATTCACTAAAAAGGATTTCAAATTCTGAATCAATTTCACAAAGATGTAAGAAGCACAATTTAAAAAAACCACACTGTAATATACCCTCTTGATGTATATGGATTGTTTTGGTATAACTGTGAATACATCCATGACTGTTTTACGGATTCCGTACATATAATATGTCATCTTTTCCTAAATTTATGATTATCAGGAAGACAGGGCATTTAAAATGTGTTGATTATGGAGAGAAATACACTTTTTTTAAAAAAAAATATTATTTAATTTCTTTATACACTCTGTCATGTGCACATATATCCTTTGTGTGATTAATACTTTTACAAAATTTTAAGTATCCTTATATGTGTACAGACCCTATACACATCATTACACACATACAATATTAGATTGTACAATATAGTACAATATAGCCTGTATAAATGCAGGTAATTATGAAAATAAGTGTCTGGCCTAATACTATATGCAGGACATGGATATTTCTCATTACCATTTGAGCCCTTCTCCTGTCAATTTGTTCTTTTAATAAGTTTCTGCATTTTTATGAACATAGTCATTCAAACTCTCTTTACAAATCCTTTTTTTTTTTTTTTTAAATAGATTCTGTAGGTGTAAAAATTGTCTTTTGAGTTAATGATGTTGCAGTGAAATGCCTGAACTTTATGCTAGGAAATCATAAAGGACTAACTAGGTTAAGGACTTTCTACATCTGCTTTAATCACTGCTACAATGTATGCCACATGAAAACTAACTTTACCTATGAAAATTTGCAAGGAAGTTACAAAATACCTGCACGTAAGTATTTAAAACAAAACAGTATTTTTAAAAGAAGATAAGCAAACTCACTGTTTTGTACAGCTCCCCTTTCTGAGTGTGCACGCATGAGGATGGGAATGACAGATGAGAGAGGACGAGAGAACCAAGAGTGCGTACTTTGCCTACACTCATCATGGCATCCAGAGTATCAAAAGAGCGTTCTGAATGAAACGCAAAACCTGTCATATTCTAAGCCGTGAGTATCAATTATTCAGCAAGTGAAAGGAATACAAGTGCATTTTTGAGGCTACCTCCACACTATTCCAGAAGTAACAAGGAGACCACAGGTAAAGTGCTCAAAGCCCTGAGTATGGTGGCTGTTTTTCTGACAATGCTGAGCATGGTATTAATTCTAATTTTGCCTTATCTACCTAAAAGTCCCATAAACATCACCCCACCCCCACCCCCAATTTAAATTTCCATTTGTGGCATAACATTTTCCGTATCAGCGTCCCCATTTGCGCAAGGATCGTTTCAGTTTCTCGCATAATCTTGCCACCGAGTTGCAATCACACACACACACACACACACACACACACACACACACACACACACACCGCGCTTCGCTGTCTTCCGCCTGCTTCCAAGACATTAATCACTTATTCCATTTTTAAATCGCGTTCCTGGCCTCCGACAGGACCCGGCGAGGCACTTTTAGCGGAGCTGTACCCACGCCCGCTCCGCTCCGCGCGGCAGCAGCCGCGGGAGGGTGCGCAGGGCAGAGTTTGGGGCCGGGGCTTCGCGGGGCGCGGAGCGGGGCCACCGCCACTCCCCGCGGGGGCTGCGCGGCCCCGGCCCCGGCCCCGGCCCGGAGCGCTCCCACCGAGGCCACCGGAGGCACCGGTGCCCCCGGCAGCAGCCCGGGCTCTGCAGCCTCCTGCAGGGAACGGTAAGTTTTCGGGTCGCCCTGTTGTTCCACTCACGGAAGGAGCACGGGTGGGTTTGGGGAAGGGAAAACGGAAGGGTGGGGGGCATAACGGATCCCCGGGGAGAGCGCTCCCGGGCCCGGAGCGTGAGCGCTGACAAAAGAGATTTGGCAAGTTCCCCTCTCCCTCGGGTCTTGTCTTTTTTTTTTATTTATTTATTTTTTTTTATTTATTTATTCTTTCTTTTTCCTCCCCTTCCTATTTAAATTGTTTCATTGTTAGCGGATTACCCTCGCCTCAGGTTACACCCGACGGGGAAAGGGGAAGCAACCGCCCCTTCTTTCCCCTTCTCCCCCCCCCCCCCCATTCCAAATAAGATCTATATTATCATTAACCTGCTCTTCGTATTTGGGGAAAACCGGAGACACAGGGCGGAAAACCCAGATAAAACAAAGGGAAGGGAGCCCGAGCGATGTCAGCCCCGAGGAACTTGACTTTCGGCGGAGGACTGTTTCGGGGCACCCTCCCGCAGCTCCTGCCGAAGTTTCCCTTTCGGCGGCAGCGGCCCAGGTGCGCGCTCGGCCGGGCCACGGGCGGGCACCGCCACGGGTGGGCACCGCCACGGGGGGCAGCGCCTCGACCCGCGGGCAGGTCGGGATGGGGCTGGGGCCAGGACGCCCATCGCTCCCTACCCCGGCAGCTGCGGCACAGGGGAGAGCACACGGAGCCCCGGGGCCGGCCGCCCCGCTCGCTCGGGGAACCAGCCGGCCGGCCGCCCCCTTCGCGTGTGGGGCGGCCCCACGGGCCGGCCGGGCCCGGCTCCCGGCTCCCGGCTCCCCGCTCGGCCCCGCCGTCCCACCGCCTTCGCCCCCCGCACACCCCGCGGCTCCCCGGCCCCGGCGGCAACCCGACACCGCCGCACGCTCATTGGGCGGCGCCGCCGACCCCGCCCCCCGCCGACCGCGGCGACTCAGGAAGGCGGCTCGGCCCGCCGGGCGCCGAGGCTCGCTGTTGTTTGGCCGGCGGGGGCTGTCAGTCAGGTTGAGGGACGGGCCGCCCTGCCGCTGCGGTCCCGCCCCCTCGCCCTAATTGATATTATCGGAGCGCGGCGCGGGCGGCCGGGCTGCAGTCGGGGCTGGCGGGCGGCCGGCCCGGTGCGGGAGCCGGGCAGCGGCGCGGAGGAAGAGGCGGAGGAGAAAGAGAAGGAGAAGGAGGAGGAGGAGGAGGAGAAAGAGAAAGGCAGCCGGGAGGGAGGGAGCGAGCGCCGAGCCAGAGACTAGCAGACCAAATTCTCCACCGTCCCCTAGCACCCACCAAGCGGCGGCAGCGGCAGTGTCTAGAAATATATAGCTAGAGATATAAAACCACCCCGCTCCTGCACCATGGTTTTCCAAAGTAGGCTCCCTTCTTGGATTATTTTGTGCTCCGTCTGGCTGTTCCGCTTTGCACACACGGGGGAGGCACAGGCTGCAAAAGAAGGTAAGGTGATGCGGAAAACAAAAGTTTGGGCTTATTTATTGCTTTTGCACACTAAGTCTGTGTGGTGGCTTAGCGAAGGACCTGCCTGCCACCGCGAGCTGCTTGTCCACCCTCCCCACCCCCGCTTAAAAAAAAAAAAAAAAAAAAAAAGACATTTTTTTAGCTGAGGTGAGAGGGGGGAAAGAGCAAGGCATTCGCTACGGGGGGTGCGTGTGTATGTGTGAGAGACCGGGACAACTGCCTTTGCGCTCAGGAATGAGGTTTGCGAGGCATTTGCACGTGATGAAAAGGCGTGGATGGGGCTGGGGATCCGTGCAAGGGAGCCTCACTCTCCCCTGGCAGCCTTCATCCTCCCGGCGAGGGGCGGGGGGGGGGGGGCTTGCCTTGCTACTCCCCCGGTGGGGGCTGCAGGGGCCGAGGGCCGAGTTTCGGGGCTCGGGACGTTTGGTGGGAGGCAAGGCACGGCGCGTGGCGGAGGCTGCGGGGCAGATCCGCGCCACTGCCCACCGGGGGCCTGCGGCGCCCCGGCCCCGCGGGGCCGTGCACGGACCGTGGGAAGGAGCATCGGGGTGCAGTTTTGCACCTCCCGGCCAATGCAGGCTGGGCGTGAATTTAAAGGGTGCATACAGCCCGGCACCGCTGGAGAGAGAGAGGTTTAAGGATGGATATTTTACACCATCTGCGTATCACAGCGGGGCTTCGCGATGCCCATCAATCCAACACTGGTACCTGTGTGAGGCGAACCCCGGACGTTTGTTTCCCCCGCGCACAGAGACAAAACAGGCAGTTTTTTATCAGAGGCTGATGGAGGTGTATAAAATCCATTCACAAACTCCATCTGGGAATCTCTTTCCTCACGATGAGACAATCCGAAATGATTTAAAGGAGCGCCTTGCTCGCGTCTGACAGCCAAAGGCGAAGGTCCGTCTCCATCTTCGGGGGGGGGGGGTGTGGGAGGGGGAGAGAACGGGCGACGACGACAGGGAACAGGGAGTCAGGGGCTTTTTCGGTGTCTCCGCATATGTATGCGTTTGGGGGTTTTCCCCCCTCAGCTAGATACGTCAGTATTTTTCATCAAACAGTTGGCATGCAGTAAAATACCATTTCGAGCTTGTAACTGGAGCTTAAATTAAAAAAAAAAAAAAATCCTTCAATTAAAATGTCCTCTGCCCTTAAGGATATGACGAGGTTAGAGAGGGAAAGGGGAGAGAGCCATTCCTTAGCAGCATTTCGAAAGTTTTTCTGGAGGGTCTGTAGAGCCCAGAGAGGGCCCCCCCCCCCCCCCTCCGCCCCCGCCACGGGCAGTACTAACGCGTGGCCGTGGGGCGGGGAGCGGGGAAGGGCAGGGAGGGTGCGAGCTGCCTGCCCCGCTCTGCCCTGCGGATTTCGCCGGTGCCTCCCGGCGGTGGTTTGCCTCGTGTTTGTGTATGTCATGGATGTGTATCTATATACATACATCTCTACATATCAGCGTGTGTTCATAATGTGTGTATGCTTGGGGAAAATTAACCTAGTCAAAGGAGGGTCAGGAGGGGGCGAGCGGCAGACAGGGATTGATAGCTGCTACCTGCTGCAAGCGCAGAAGACTCCCGCGGAATAAAGAGCGAGGGGGAGGAAAAAAAAAAAAAAAAAACAAAACAACAAAAAGCCCAAACAAACAAAACAAAACAAAACAAAACAAAAAAAAAAACACCAAAAAAAGAAGTAACTTTGCAGCTTCACCCCCGGCCTCGCCGAAGGGCCGGAGGCGGCGGCAGCCCTGCGTGGTTTCCCACCGCTTCCCCGCAGGGCACCGAAGAGGGATGAGAGGCTGAAAAGTTTTGCGAGTTTCCTTACTGTAGCTAAACAGAAGCCGCGGTGAGCTGCTGGAGAGGAGCGGGGCAAGGTCCGCCCGGCTCTCCAAGCCCGGGGGTGGCCGCGTTACCTGCGCGGCCAGCGCCGCGGCCGGGACCCTCGGGGCGAGCGCAGACGCGGGGCCGCTGCGGCTGCTCCCCCCGGGGTGTGAGAGGTCCTACCCCACCCCCACCCCCCCCGGCTACGAGACCTCGGGGCTCCGTTTTGGGGCTGCCATCCCGGGCTCTCCCTCCCCAAACCGGCGGCTGCCGGGCTGCGGGGTGGTGTGTGGCGGGGGGGGGGGGCCACCGCGGTACCTGGTCCTTGGCCGCCCAGCCCCCGTTCTTCAGCGCGAAGGCGCGGCCGCCTGCGCGCTGCCCCGCGCAGCGCCCGGGGTGGGTGCGCGGCTGCGGCCCCCCCCGCGGAGGCGAGAGTCCGCTGCTCCCCTCCTGCGCGGCGCTCCGCGGAGCGCCTTGCCCCCGCCCCCGCGCTTCGCCCGCTGGTTTTACGCCTCCTTTCGCTTTCTGTCCCGCCGCGCCGCGGAGGGCGGGGGGGGGGGGGGGGGGAACGGGGGACCGAGCGGCGTCTCTCCGCCCCCACCGGCGGAATGCGACCCGCTGCGCCCCCGCGGAGGGACCGCGCCCCGGGGTCTCGGCGTGCTGTGGCAGGCTGCGGATCCCTGCGCGGCTGCGGATCCCTGAGCGGCTGCGGGCGCGGTGCGCGGAGCACGGCCCCCCCACTCCCCCCCCCCCCCCCTCCCGCATCCGCGCAGCGCGGGTGGGGAGCAGCGCACCAGCCGCTGGGCTGGGAAGCTCTTCCCCGGCAACTTTCGGTGCCACTCGGGAACGCCACGTTTTCCTCGCACGGGGTGTTTGCAGAGCCGAGGGATTTATGTCTGTTTGTTTATTTGTGTGTTTGTTGTCTTTTCTTTCTGGGATTTTTTCCACCCGTTGCTATGTGATGGAGAATTGCCGCCAAATAAAAAGTGTAGGGAATTGCAGCCATGGGACGTTGTGCTGGTGCCGAAATGGTTAAATTCTTCGTGGTACCTTTTTTTTCCAGGAGAATTATAAATGTTCGTGTTTAACAAACCACCACATACACCACCTGCTTTTTCTATAGAAAATGTTACAAAGTAAAGCCCCTTGAATCCAGGCTTAATGAAATAAGCAGATAATCTTTCTAAGAGAGAGACTATCAAACTTCCTTAACAAGCAGTTCCACTTTATTACTAAAATATAGGCCTAGAAGCTACCGTTTTGCGTTCAGCTAACATTCCAGATATTACTCTATGAACCTTTACATAACTTTTTTAGTCATCTCATCTTTCTAGTAATTCACTGAAATTTTGTGTTAAATTCTACTAGGAGAAGGGGCCGGAGCCAGAATTATAACCATTTCAAAGGACCTGACAAAAGTTGCTGAAGTTTACAGACTCAAATCATGCATTGAAATATCAGTACTTAAGTGCCGTGTATAAAGTTATAAATAGCTTTATAGCTAAGAATATACAGAATAGATTTACATTAGAAATGTTACTTTTTATTTAATCAAATAGAAATTTGACGTTAAAAGAGCAGCTGTGAAGAAGGAATCTTCAAAGTGTTCCAAACCTAGACATATGGTTGATAAAGCTATGGCTGTTTGAAAGAAGGTATTACAGCAAATTACTTCACTTTTAAAAATTTATTTTATTTGGGGATCACAGATTAACATATGTACCATTTGAAAGTCTTACAGAAACTTATAATAATATGCTAAGAAAGAAGCTCATAGCTATAATTGAAATATAAGACATACATAGAAATGTATGTTTGGAGGTAACAGAACATCAGTAATATAATCTCTGATATGTACTGTGAAATATGTAAGAGTTGGTTTATTAGGCTGTGATTAGCCACTTTCAGAGATGGGGTTACAAGTAGCTGAAAATAACCGTGGTGCTACTAGAACTGATGTTTTTTTTGTATGGAATGTCACTGGGGTATAACAACATGAATATTTTTAGTAAACCATTACCATAAAGTGAATTAATCTGATTTTGTGTATGTATGTAGTGTTTTAGGTATGCATGCAGAGTCTTTTATTTTCTGTATTCCTGGTTGTCATTTGTTTACAGAATTATGGCTTTAGCACCTAAGGGACATGTTTGGTTTTTTTTTTTTTTTTTTGTTTCAAACTCCGAAAGACCATTACTTTTGCAGTGAAACTGCCAGTAAGGTATAGTCTAGTCCTGTCTAAATCAGTTTGGAACAGTGTTGAAATGTTGGTATGCGTTTGTTTGTTTTAAGCTCATTGTAATAACCAGCATATGGGCAATGTCCTTATGACAAAGGACATGAAGGGAGCGTGCATCTTAATGACTGATTAGTAACACTTTAGAGCACTAAGAAAAACAATACACTTTGATTTAAGCAATGAAATTGTTAAAATTGAAGTGTATCTGCTTGTATGTGGATGGTACATAACAATTTAATCATCTATTTACAAGTAAATGCATAGTTGGGATTGCAGATTCTTTTTAATAATATAAAGAAAAAAATATTAATTTGTACAAAAACTGTATTCTTTTTATCACTTTTTTTAGTCAGACTTTGTCGTTTGGTTTTATATTCCCTCTTACTACATTTAACAAACAGTGAAAATTCTTATGTGGTTTTTTTTTTTTTTTCCCCCTTTTTAGTAATATTGCTGGACTCTAAAGCACAACAGACAGAGTTGGAATGGATTTCCTCTCCTCCCAACGGGGTAGGTACTCCAGACAAAAATGAAGTTCCTAAAGACAAGTAGTTATTTTACCAAAGCAATTGAAAGACTTGCTTTAAACTAGCTCCCCCCTCATATTTCTCTCAGTAATTGTACCAAGTGTTTATGACTTTTTCATTTTTAGAATGGAAAGGAGTGTATTTCAGGTTACAGTGTACAAATGTACAAGCTAATTAAAAGGAAGAATCTCTTTAGAAACTCACCTAAATGTTCTCCTTACCTTTTTGTTTTGTAGTGTAATCCTTTGTGCTGTACCAGAAAGCTCTGTATACTTATAACATATTATTTTAAATCACTTTTTCATTCTTCCTTTAGAAACAACAGACTTACTCCTATGTGGAAACTTTCTAAAAATATGTTTTTCATTTTCTGTATAATGGGTGATCATAAATTTGTTTACGATGTTTTCTTTGTAATTGAATAGCACAGATTGAAGTGCTCTAAAATAAAAACATTTATACTGCAGATGTGTTTGAAATGACATACCAAACTTGAAACATCCCCGAGTCTTGAGGAGCTTGATATCTGGAACTAGGCACGAATTATGTGGTTAAGGCCACCTCCAGTTTGCTTACAAATGAATCTCATGGTACTCCATGAAATGTACCAGTGTAAAGTACATCATTATAAAAAATGAGAAGTTTAGAAACATTGGTATTATTGTCTAATATATGTAAAACTGAGAAATGCTTCTTTCAGTCTGAATTACAAATGGTATAAAAACCTTCCTTCCTCAAGCCCTGAGGAAGTACATTTTAAGAAAGATATAATGGGTATATTGTCCTACCTTAACTCAGTCTGAAAAATCATAAATCATATGGATAGTTCTTACTCATGGAAGCAATCTTGCTGAATCCATTGTGACTCCTTGCATGAACAAGGACTTGGGGGATCAGGCCCTTAATCTTCACCGCATTAAGAAATCTGGAGCCAGAAGGGCGTGAAGTGTGAGTGGGGATATAAAAGTGTAACAAATCCTTTAAATAAGAAGAATGAAAATCCAAAAGTGTCTTTCTTTAAAAGCAAGATCGTAAAATCAATACAAGCATAAACTGGAAATGAATGTAAGGACTTCAGAAAGAATGTTATGCGAGCTCAACATGTATGATGGCTAATAACCTCGGCATTAGCATTTTGCACTGGTTGAAGCCTTTATCAGAGGTGTTTGAAAGATTAGCTCGGTGGCAATTATATTAGGGTAACCTGTAGATAATGAAAGACATGTCAACACGTTAGATGTGTCAGCATCCTGAAAGATGAAAAGTAGAGTCCAATTCAGCAAATAGTAAAAGGCAACTTTTGTATGTAGAAGCCAATTTCAATCATGAATTAAAAGTGAATCAAAACTAATGGCTGGATTCATATGTGTGAAGATGTCCAGAAATATTTGCCTGTGAATTAACATAAAAGTACCATTTTAATAATGTAATTTTGAAAAGAAATGTTTTTCTAGTTTTAATTACTGAATTTTCTACTATGCAAACAAGACTTCATGGGAATAAACACAGAAAATCTAATTCTCCAGGGAAACTACTGCATCATCACAGTACAGACTATATCATCCAGACACTCGTTAAATGCCTCATTCAACTGCAAATGTTACATCTAACAATAATCTCAAGCATTGTTAAGATAACTAAGAAGTTAAAATATCATATATTGAAACCAATAGAACTGGACACATTTGAATGGAATTCCATGTATATTCTGATATGTTGCAGCAGGACAAAGAAAAGTTGTATTTTCTTGCTGTAAAAGCTATCATGGAATTGATCACTTCAGAAAGACTTTAATGACACATGACCTCAGATGGCATAGGTGAAACCAGATCCTGAAATACTGATGTATTTTTTTACCTGCAGAGAAGCAGGTACACCTCCAATGGGCTACCTGAAATAATAGATCTGTGATTACATACTTGAATCATAATTTTTTAGAAAAATCATACTCCATGGCTTTGGGAAGATACAGAGTGATAGACTTCAGTGGTTAATGCTAGGGGTAATGTAAAGTAGGGCTTATCTGAATTTAGTGTTTTGTATTGTTTTCATTGACTGTAACATGAGAATCTCTCTGATACTAGCTAGCCTCATGTAGTGGGCTTTTGACTCCAAGAAGGCTCATTTGTTTTGTAGTGTTGTATTACAAAAAATGGTTTGATTTTGTTAAATTTTTTGTTTGTTTTTGTTTTGCTTTCTCTTTTTTTTTTTTTTTTTTTTTTAATTATTATTAATATTATTTTCTTGGTTGGTTTGTTTTTTTTTGGGGGGTGTGGTTATTTCTTTTGATGCAGCAGTTCACATCAAAACTCGGGGAGTGAGATTCTGTTGTGTGGTTACTTTCACTTCAAAGATACGATATGTCGTCTAACAGGAATATCTCATTGCAGAATCTGGCTTGCTGTTTTGAGGGAGGACTGCTTACACAAGATGAAAAATAAACAAAAAACCCAAACCAACTCAAAAAACAACCCCACCTCAACACAACCTGATGTGAAAAGGAGAATATAAAAATCAGTAAAATTTTAGGCTTCTTGCTTTCTTTGTCATCTTTGTGCGTTGTTTTTTTTTCTTTTGTTCTGTGTTTTCATTTATTTTTGTTTTTGTTTTCCTTCTTGTTTGTTTTTGTTGTGTTTTTCTTTTTTTTTTTCAATGCAGCAGAGCCAAAAGCTTCTGTTCAAGGCCCCTTTTTTACTTTTTTTCCTTGTTTGTGCTAGTTCTTATAGAGGGGGGGAAAAATCTTACTTGTTAAGATCTAATAAATCTACTATGAAGACAGACTTTCTTCTGTTCTGAGATTAATACAGTTCCATATGCAATTGGTTCAGTTAATTCCATAAGCATTTAATAATAAATTTCAATCATTTAATACCATATGCATATATAATACCATACATACCATGTCTATATTAACTGTAAGCCTTTGAAATGTGCTTTGATATTTACAACTTCTGTGCATTTCAGCATCTGCAGCCATGAAATATTTTGTGGTGATAACTTCCAGCATCAATTCAACCACATCTGCTTTTTCTTGAAGCAGTACACCAACATTAAAATGATCTCATTTGCTGTCGAATAGGCTTGCAAAGTGTTGTATACTGCGTGGCTCTTAGTCTGGGAAACCAATGCCTTCCACACTCGGTTACCAGTGTCAGGAACGTCACTGGGTGCTCCATCCTGTGGAGGTGCTGAGTATGCTAGTCCCACAAAGCATTTAAGCACATGCTTACCATTAAGCTCATAAGTACTGTCATTGATCTTAAGCGTGAGCTTAAGTGCATTATTGACACAGGGCCAGAGGGCTAAGAGCCATACGGAGAAGTCATGGTTGACTATCGTTGGGTGAGGATAGCTCAAAGCCCCCCTCCCCTAATTTATTGCAGCTGCAGTTTCTGCAGTGAATTAAAGGTTACAAGAAACGTGAAACAAGGTGGGAGACAGATACTGTTTTCGTTACACCTCAGCAGATCTGCCTGGTTGATTTCAGTGGAAGGTTTGCCATTGCTGGAGGTGCAAATTCCCACGCCACCGAAGGCTGTTAAAGACTATGGGGCTGTTACAGGCTTACCAGTTTGTTATGTAGTTGGTATCCCAAAGAGGGAATAACAACAAAACCCAGGCTTCAAACCAGTGAGCTTTCAGTCATGTGGGTTGTTCTTAATTACGCGTATAATCTCACGGTTCGTTTGAACTCCCAACTAAATGAAGTTTGCTCCTTTTAACATGGGTGCAGCCACTGAATAAACTGCGAGGTGAGGAGCTCCTGCTTACCCTCTTTAATTTTTAAGTAGAACAGAAGGTGGACCTGAACAAAAAGGGGACAACCAAAATGTTTTCCTGCTTTCAGATTTTTAATTCTGTCTGTTTTCTCCTGTACTCTCTCTCTATGCCACTTTCATTGTATAGCAATCATCTGACTCACAAGTTTCAGGAACCAGTCCCATGCTTTCTGTACAACTGAAAGTTCCACTGGAAGTTTTATGTACACAAGTTTTATGTACTGTAACACTAGGCAATTTCAGTTTCTGAGACTTCACTGATTTTAGGTTTCTCTGTAAGTGAAGCTGCCTCCCTCCTTTTGGTCTTTGCTTACCCAAAACTGTCATGACCTTAATGAAATGTGGGAGCGTCCAGTGTGAAATCAGAACTTGGTACGGTGAACAGCCTTCTCTCAAGCTTCTCCTTTACAACTGTGCCGATGATATGACAGTGATTTTTAGAAGTTATTTATATGTGGGAAAGACACAGAGGGAGAGAGAGCCTGAAGAGCTGCATTAATGTGTATTTTCTTCATTTGGGTGCTCAACAGTATTTTAACAATAACCTACTTTTTATGGAGCCGTATTGTTAAAAAGGAGGGAGACTTGAGTTGTATGAAGCCTTTTAAAATACACAGTAGTTGCATCTGGTGGCATACTTGTTTTGTATTACTAACTGTTTGTTATTGTTTTAGTGGGAAGAAATTAGTGGACTGGATGAAAACTACACTCCTATACGAACATACCAGGTATGCCAGGTGATGGAATCAAACCAAAACAACTGGCTTCGGACTAACTGGATTGCAAAAAGCAATGCACAAAGGATTTTTGTAGAACTGAAATTCACTCTGAGGGATTGTAACAGTCTTCCTGGAGTTCTGGGGACTTGTAAAGAAACTTTTAACTTGTATTATTATGAAACAGACTACGACACTGGCAGGAATATCCGAGAAAACCAATATGTAAAAATAGACACTATTGCAGCAGATGAAAGTTTTACCCAGGGTGATCTTGGGGAGAGAAAAATGAAACTTAACACAGAGGTGAGAGAAATTGGACCTTTGTCCAAAAAAGGATTCTATCTTGCGTTTCAGGATGTAGGGGCCTGCATTGCTTTGGTCTCTGTCAAAGTCTACTACAAGAAGTGCTGGTCCATCATTGAGAACTTAGCTATTTTTCCTGACACAGTGACTGGCTCCGAGTTTTCCTCTTTAGTTGAAGTACGAGGAACTTGCGTCAGCAGTGCAGAGGAGGAGGCAGAGAACTCGCCGAAGATGCACTGTAGTGCGGAGGGAGAATGGTTAGTGCCTATTGGAAAATGTATCTGCAAAGCCGGATACCAGCAAAAAGGAGACACCTGTGAACGTAAGTAAACATACAGCTTGCTGTCATATGTACATTATAGGTCATGTTCTACTAGATATTTTTTTTTTTTTTTTTTTTTTTTTCAAGAGAAATGCATCATCAGTCTTCCGTTAAAGTTTTTGGATCCTCAATCTGTAAACTTCACACTGGCTAATCTAAAGCAGTCAGACCTTCCAGATATGGAAATCAGTGGTTGCATACTGCATTTTTAAATTTAAACAAGAAAAGTTAAAGTTGTATGAAGTATAAATATAGATTCAGGACTAACATTTTAAACAGGTTAAGATGATGTTCCTTGTACCTCCTGGAAATGCTGAGGAAGTCATACCTATCACAGAACATTGTATAAATAAACTTGGATATGAGTAGTTAAACAGTTTGTTCTTTCATCTGATCTCTGACAGAAATATAAGAAAACTAAAACTAAGTAAACTTATAATGAGGTATGATTAGTAATGGGAAGAATACACACACAATAAAAACTTGAGTTAGAGGTTTGTGTCAAGTGGGTATAAATTCAAACACAAGATAGGTCTTTCAAGCAGAATATCAAGTTTTCAGAATAAAGTGTGTTTTCCTTTCTACAACATCTTTCTGCATAAAGCTAACTCTAAACTTTTGGCTTGCCATGTGATCATGGTGATTAGTTTAAAATACTGGCAAATCAGAGACTACTGAGTTCTAAATCAGACTGATTCAGCTATCCGTATTCTTAGAATGATACGTACCCTTAGCACTGCTGTCACTGGGGCTACATGCATAAGATATTTCTGCTTAGTGTGAGAAAGGATATTTCGTTGTCTTTGCTTACAGTAAAATCAAAAGACTATGGAGTTTGTTTGAAGACAGGTGTTTTCAGGTACATTTAACACAAGGTCTATCATTTTTATCATAAGATAACACAAGTACTTATATATCACCATGTTTTTATTGTAAGATAGGCAGATACTTGTTGGTGAGAAATTTACTAAGTCAAAAACTGGAAAAACCCCTCAGAAATCTATAAAGAGGAGAAACCTACGGAATCTCAGAAATAAAACTGGCAGCAGTCACTGAGTCAGAGATGTCTGTGTGAGGACTTAAGAATCTGTAGATGATTAGGGACACCCAAAACCGGAGTAAACGAGTCTTCTTATTAATAATTTGTCCTCAGGAAAAAACAGGATTTTGTTCTTGATGAGTTTTTATGTGGAAATTCAGTACAAGGTGAAGTGAGTGGAGTTGATCTGAGGCCTTTGTAGCCTTGCACAAATCTTCCATTGTTCTGTTGGGAAGGGATGAGGGCTTATACACTGCGGACAGTGATCTCATTAGGAGTAATTGTAATGTGAGAAACTGCCCCCACAAAACAATTCAGTAGACTGTATTAAAGCTCTGTTAAAAATATTAGGGGCTGTGTTCCATAGAAGCATGTTTTCAGGTTTTCAAATATTTTTTTTGAGCGACTGACTTTTTTCCTTTTCTTAGTTAACTTGCTCTTGATTACAGACCCAGTCATGGTTGATGTAATTAATATTCTAATTTTATTTGACTTTCAATAATGGAGAGAAAGTATCCAAAAAAGAAAGCAGTGCATGTTGGGAGGTAGGTGGAGGACAGGAGCTGAGTGAGCATGGTGGAGATGGAGAGAGAAGAAATTGGTGTTTAGTAACTGGAATTCAAGTAACCTGTTTATTAAACAGGCTTCTTAATTTCTAACCGTGCTGATGTTGACAAAAGAATTAAATGATAACTTGTACTTGAGCATGGCAGCGTGCTCATTTGCAAGAACACTTCCCATTTTTGGCTTGCTTCCAAAGCAATCGCTAAGAGAATACGCTACTCTGGAAACAGTCCAGAGGATCATTTATGGTATTTTTCCTCTTTTCTTTCAGTGATCCTGTTAAGAGTTTCAAAACAAACTCTGGCTCCATATCGAGGCAAGTTAATGTATTTGAGAGGGAAAAGGTGGGAGGCAGGCGCTCACCGAATGCGCGCCGTTGGCAGCTCCGAGTTGGAAGGATCTGGGTGACTGTGGCGCACGATAGTAATTGCCGTCTGTGATACTTGTTAGCTGTGTCTGTGCTCGAGGATGTTATTAAGTATGATCAACTATGTAGTGGCCGATAATACAGCTGGCACACTGATACTGCGTCTGTTTTTTGTGACAGATATTGAGAGAAACTTATCTGAACATTGACACTAATGCAACCGGCTATCTGTTACTGTCAAGCTGTGTAACAGATCAAGCAGAAGCAAGTTGGCGTGTGCTTCCTTAACCCAGAGCTTTTATAGCCCTGTCTGAGGGCTCACTTCTGCAAATACTTTGTACCTGGCATGCTGTGTGACTTCTTTGGGACTACTCATGGCAGAAAGCATTGTGCTCTGTCAGGATGGGCAGAAGTCTGTGATTCCTCTCTCACACTTGCTAAAGCTCAGCTGAATTAACTTAACACAATAGGAAGGTCTTTTAAAGATACAGAATAATACCTTATCTGGCTGCATTGTAGCAAAGGTAGGAGTAGATGGCCACATTGTAGTTCCAAATAGCTCTTCAGCCTGTAACTCAGTGGGGATTTTCATTTGTGTTATGCTGGCTTGATTGGCTGGCTGTGATTGAAGAATGTGCGCTTTTTGCATACATCTTCTCTACTGTGTGTGAAATTTATTGAGTTCAGATACTAAAACAATTGAATTTTGATTTATGCACAAGTCTGCACTGGATGTGTTGCCAGATTTTTTTTTTTGTTGTTGCATGAATGTAACTGGTAATGCTGGGAAGGAAAAGGAAGAAAACAATTGTGAGCAGTGAAATGCATAACCTGGGAAATGAGCTCCCATGTGTTCCTTCTTCAGTGCTCAATCTTTCAAAATGATTTTTTTTTTTTTTTTGGATGTACACTGATTACTTTTCACTACAGGTGTACCAAGGAGTCCATGACAACTCAGTGATCTATTGTGATAGCACACATACATAAGAGAGCCAAATTTTAAGAGCTCACAATTTTAATTTAAAGCAAAATCTTAAAGCTGGGTGAGGACACTCTGAATTTTGAGTTGCAGATTCTTTTGCTTATGTGCAAGAACACTATCTCCTCAGTGTTGGTCTTATGTCTATTTGTGTGTGGCACTGTGCTTAGGTGTGGAAGTTGTACACTTTAAAGGATTGTCTTGAAGGCACCTAGAAAAGATACTTAGAAATATTCAGTTCTTCCAACATAATTTACTGCATTTGTTCTGGAAAAAATGAACAAACAAAAAAATCCAACGAAATAAAAAACTACCACAAAACCCCAATAAAGTTCTCAGTAACTGTAGTGGACTCCCAGTAGGTCTAACTTAGATTTTTTTTTTTTCTCACAGTGGAGTTCAGTCAATACGTTGTGCATGTAAGGAGTACACTGTGATCAGTGATTGGTATTTGAAGGAGAAAATGATTTTTTGAGAACTTCTAATGTAATATATTTTCCAGCTGTTCCATGTTAGTTGGGGGTGGGGTAGGGAGAGAATTAGATTTATTTAATCGGAGCAGTAGAGTGATATTTCAGAAGATAGGAAATATCTCTTAATATGATTGAACTGAGAAATTACATAGATGATTTGGCACCAAGTCCAAAAGTTCATATTTCTAGGGAAAGCCAAATGGGTGCATTTTACTGTTAAACATTTTATAATACCATATGCATTAACAGTTGTTTCATTGGCCCCAAAATGGAGAGGGGATTATAGCTATTTGTACATTTTGTCTTGGTGAGGTAAAAAGGGAGCTACAGGCTTTTCCTTCCCAACTTTGTCATGTGCTGTACACTGTGCTAGACCTCAAGCTACATCTGTTCCTTCTTTTTTTCCTTCTTGGGACAAACATTTATCTCTTGATTTTGTGAAATATGACTTGATAACAGATCCAGAAACTGAATTTGCCTTATGCTTTGCATAATCATGGTAAAGTACGTGTGGTTGTGTGTGTTTGTTTGCTTGTGTGCCTGTTTGTTTTCTGTTTGTTTGTTTGGTTGGGTTTTTTTCTGTTTTTATTTTTTAATACTGCTCCACTTAGGAGCTGATGTGCCCCAAGTTTATTAGCAGAGGGCAATGAATTAAGGGGCAAATGTGAATAAGTTGTCATTAAAAAAATGTTACCATGCTTCTAAGAAGCCCAAGTTGCACATATTGTGAATTGGGTGTTGAGTTTAGCCCAGGTAGTGTCCCAAAAGCTTTGAGTGAGCTGCAGTTTGAGTAACCTGTATTGACATTCCTGCATTTTTAACTTGAAAATGTTTTGCTTTGTGGAAAAGGGGAAAAATGGTAGAAAACTTTTTCAGTGACATTTATATCATTAAGACTCTATATGTTTCCTTTTTTGAAGAAGAATTACCTTTCTTTCATTTGCCTCCAAAATTACTCTAGGGAAGAGAATGTAATTATTCTCAGCAAATTGAACCAGAGCAGAGAATGAGGATATCTTTGAGCCTTGTCATTTTCTCTGAAGCCAGTGGAAGTTCAACAGGAGAGTGTCTATCTCCTTCCCTTTTTATCCCCAAACATTAAATAAATTTTCTGTCCCTTTTTAAAGAAAATTCAGTGTGATCTGATATAAGGTCCCAGATACAGCTGCATAGGAACAATTGGATTAAAAACAAAACAAACAAACAAAAAAATCATGTAAATATCTTTCCAAAGGATCCTAACAGGGTTCAGAAAAATATACCAGATACTTACTTTTAAGGTGCAAGTAAGATCTTCTAGCTAGATGGTTAGGAATACTTGAAGGTGTTTCTACTATGAAATGCAGAGCTGTGATTTCCCCTTTCAGCCCTCTTTGGAGTTTCTGGAAAGTTGAATCTCTTGGCTTTCTTTCACCCTGGAGTTTTCTGACTGCCTTTCTTGTCAGAGAGATGTGGTAGAAAGGTATTTTCTTGCTATATCTTTCTTTCAGAACAGTCCAGTGTCCATGAAGAAGATGAATTCCACAAATTTGTCAGTCTCCCTATATCATTTGGGTTTATTTGACCTCCTTTGTTCAT